GGTGGGTTTGGGTGGGTTTTCAGATCCTGGACCTTGAGTGACTCACCCAAAAGGGCCTGAGACTTTCCCTCAAGACCTTTAAGGGATTCAGTCTTTCCGGAGATGGAAAGGGAAACCTCTGAAATAACAGATTTTTGGGGGACCCCGGCAGTAGCTTTGGGCAGCACTGGGTGACATACTCCCAGGCTTTGTCTTCTCTCTCACTCCCAGCCTCGCTGGAGGCCTGACTGCAGGTTTTTTGAGTCACTCAGCCTCCACCCAGGTCAGGATCAGAGGTCTCTGCTGTCCACCAGAGACCTGGAGCCTCCTATCCTAGGGATCTTACTCTCATCCTACAACTTTCCAAGGAATAGGAGGTTTATCTCAGATCTTGGAGTCCAGGCTGGAGCTTTGCACTTTCCTACCCCCACCCCAGGTGTCCTGTCCATTCTCAGGATGGTCACATGAGTGCTGTCTCAGTCGCCCATGGGAGGTAATGCACAGTTCCTAAATTTTTACACCCTTCTCAGATCCCCCAGAGACACATGTGACCCATCACCCCATCTCTGACCGTGAGGTCAGCCTGAGGTGCTGGGCCCTGGGCTTCTACCCTGCGGAGATCACCCTCACCTGGCACCGCGATGGGGAGGAGCAGACCCAGGACACGGAGCTTGTGGAGACCAGGCCTGCGGGGGACGGGACTTTCCAGAAGTGGGCGGCCGTGGTGGTGCCCCCTGGAGAGGAGCAGAGATACACGTGCCATGTGCAGCACGAGGGGCTGCCCGAGCCCCGCACACTGAGATGGGGTGAGGAGGGGATGTGGGCACAGGGCCTGTTCTCAGGGAAGCAGGGGCCTCTGGAGGACTTTAGCAGGGTGGGAGCTGAGGCGTGGCAGTCAGGGCCCTCAGCTTCCCTTCCCTTCCCTTCCCTTCCCCTCCCAGAGCCACCTCTTCAGCCCACCTTCATTGCTGTCCTTGTTTTTGGAGCTGTGGTCACTGGAGCTGTGGCAGCTGGAACTCTGGCAGCTGGAGCTGTGATGTGGGGGAAGAAGGGTACAGGTAGGAAACGGGTGGAGTCTGAGTTTTCTTGTCCCAATTTGGGGTTTTTAAGTCATAGGTAGAAACTTTCCAGTCTCTTGCCATAATGCTGAGAGGTGCCATCCACACAGATGTGCTTACCTAGTCTGGGGTCCTTTTTGCTAACACTCCTTTGAAAAGCACATCTGAAAAAGAGGAAAGTTGCCCTAGCTGGTTTGTCTCAGTGGTTAGAGCATCGGCCTGTGGCCTGAAGGGTCATGGGTTCAATTCCAGCTGAGAGCACATATCTCTGTTGCAGGCCCAATCCCCAGCCCGTCAGGACACATGCAGGAGGCAACCAGTCGATGTTTCTCTCACATCGATGTCTCCCCTCCCCCCCTTCCTCTCCGTTCCAATCTCTGGGAAAAAATATCCTCGAGTGAGCATTTAAAAAAGAGAGGAAACTGTCTCCTTGATGAATCTGGCCATTTCGTGATTCCTAGCAGGGCAGAGGGCAGGTCCTTGCTGAGGACAGACCTCCAGGAGGACTGTGGGTCCAGTCCCTGCACATGTACTTTCCTCAAGTTTCCTGGCCCTGCTCTGGGTCTGTAGTCACAGTTCTGGAAACTTCTCTGGGGTCTAGGACTAGAGGTTTCTGTAGGACCTCACGGCCCTGCCTCCTCCCTCGTCTCTCACAGGATGTTTTCTTCACACAGGATGTTTTCTTCCCACAGGTGCAAAAGGACGGAGCTACACTCAGGCTGCCAGTGAGTATGGAGGGGGTGACCCCTGAGACCCTGTGACACTGTAGATGGGAGCCCATAGGGGACCTCACCCCCCATAGTTCCTGCTGTAGTCCCCTCTCCTGGGGGCTCTGACCTTGTCCTGTCTTCTTCTACCCCAGGCAGTGATGTGTCTCTCAGGGCTCCTGAAGGTGAGACCCTGATATAGGGAGGGGTTGGGCAGAGGGGACGGGCCTGGGTAACGGGGATTCTCTGGATTTCAATGTTTTGAGTTAGTGAAGGGTTGTTCAGAATGTCACCACTTACAGTGACTGACCTGAATTGGTTCTCGATTATTTTCTTTCCTAGTGTGAGACCACTGCCTTATGTGGAACTGAGTGACACAATATTTGTTCGAGCCCTACTTTGTGACTGCAGGGTCTCCTGACTTCCCTTCTGCAAAGGGCATCTCATGTCTACATTCCTACCAGCATAATATGAGGAGTGGGGGAGAATGGCCTGCTCTGCCCACCATGACCTGCCCCTGCCCCCCACACCACCGTACATACACATTGTACACATTAAATACACGCAGTTGTTGGTATCAATGATACCTCAATAAAGTTGCTTAAAAAATTATTTTATTTTGAAAAACATGTTTTGAAAGTGGCTGGTGGGTTTCTAATTTAAGCATTACTATGTGAAATCGTATGTTAGATTGACAAAGTCTTGTAATTTTTATGTATTTTATTTTTTAAAGTAAATGATTCATTCTAGTTTGTGATAAAATATCAATCTTAGTGGGAGCAGTTCAACACTCCATTATGTGTAGCCCTGACAGAAGCTGTGTGTGTACAGTGAATCTTAGAGAATATCAATAAAATGTAAATGCCAACCTTGAGTTCCTAAATTATAAACTAAGAGCAAGTTCCACAAACCATAACAGTCTTCTTATCTTTTATGCTAAACTAGCTTGTGGTAGATTGAATGACACCTGTGTTCAGGTTTTTGCGTGAAAGTAAGTTTTCAACTCCTTTGGGCAAATAGGAAGAAGTACAACAGCTGGACTGAATGGTAAGAGTCTGGTTTGTTTTGCAAGAAACCACTCTGCTGTCCATGGTGGCTGCGCCACTTTGCATTCCCACCAGCAACGAGTGACAGTGCCTGCTGCTCCGCATCCCTTTGGCACTCGGTGTCAGTGTTCTGGGTTTTGGCCATTCTGACAGGTGTGCAGGGTGCTCGTTGTTTTAGTTTGCATTTCCCTGGTGACATGTGAGGTGGAGCATCTTTTCATATGCGTATTTGCCATCTGTATATCATATTAGCTGAGGTGGCTGTTAAGGTTTTTGGCCCATCCCCCCCCCATTAATTTTATAAAGAGGAAAGGAGAGAGAGAAACATCTGTTGGATGCCTCCTACATGCACCCTGACCAGGAATCGAACCTGCAACCCACGAATGTGCCCTGACCAGGAATCGAACCCGCCACCCTTTGATGTACCTGATGGTGTTCCAACCAACTGAGCCACACCGGCCGGGGCTTGGCCCATTTTTAATCAGGTTTTTTCCTCTTATTGTTGAGTTTTTAAATTCTTTGTATGTGTGTGTGTGTGTGTGTATATATATATATATTTTTTTTTTTTTTTTGAGTTTTTAAATTCTTTGTATGTGTGTGTGTGTGTGTGTGTATATATATATATATATAT